GAGACATAGATCAGTTGCCTCCTGTACTTACCCCCAACCAGGAACCAAACCCAAAACCTGGGTATGTGCCCTGACTGGGAATCGAACCATCAAGTTTTCGATGCATGGGATGATGCCCAACCAACTGAACACACCAGCCAGGGCTAGAGCTACTCTTTTAAAATCAAATACCTTATCAGGTTTCAGCCAGGACAAACAGTAAATATCCCTGGCAATACTGAACAACCCCACGGACCCAAAAGGCATCTCCAAAAAGGGTGCAAAAGATACTACCCTTCTAATAATCCGCAGCCACTCCCGAAGATAACCAAGAGAAAACCCAAAAGGCATCTCCAAAAAGGGTGCAAAAGATACTGCCCTTCTAATATCCACAGCCACTCCCGAAGATAACCAAGAGAAAGAAAGACTTGACATTCCTCTAAGGCCTGGCCATGGACCCTTGCTGCAAATGGAAGGAAACCCTCATTCTGTCCAGTCATATTTTGGGGTCTCCATCCTCATGACTGACAAGCCAAGATCTCGGAACACAAAATAAGACCAACAAGAAGGTGACAGCTATCCCTGGGAGAGAAAGGACCAGTAGCCCACGGGTCTGCACTGGGAAAGTGAGACATTATCTTCCTCTCTCAACTGGGAGCTCCGGGCAGAGCTTGGGGCCAGCTGGTTCTGGTCTGAGTGCTCACCCCTCCCGGCTTCTGCCCCTTTTTCCAGGATCCACGCTGCAGGCTCCAAAGCGAGTGGGGGTTAAAGTTGAGAGCGCAGCTCTGGTATCTACCAGAACCTAACACGGTTTCCATTCATTTTCATTTTATTATCCCCTGGGCTGTGTAAGAGAATCATTAGTAGCAGTTTACCAGAAAATTCCTGTGTCCTGTCAACGCTGGCAGGGGCCCACATGGGAACCTCCTTCAAGGCGCTCTGGTATCTACCAGAACCTAACACGGTTTCCATTCATTTTCATTTTATTATCCCCTGGGCTGTGTGAGAGAATCATTAGTAGCAGTTTACCAGAAAATTCCTCAGTGTCCTGCCGACACTGGCAGGGGCCCACATGGGAACCTCCTTCAAGGGTAGACATGGGGGTGTCTGTAAGGCCACTAACTTGGCAGACCTTCGTTTGTGGTCATATAGTCCCCAGACAGATGATAGAATGAGAGCTCAAGTAAAGGATGATTGGGAGGAGCCATAGGAATCACAGCAGGCTTACAGTCGTTGTTTTAGGCGCCTCTTATAGCCAATTTTTCATTAGCCTTTGCATGAATGTTTCAATGAAGCTATTTTGGAATTTTGAAGACTTTGAAGACTTCTGAGTGCCAATTAGAACAGCTATCCCATTGGGAACCCTTGCTTTCAAGTGTACTTCTTCTCCTTTTTAAAAATATATCTTTATTGATTTCAGAGAGGAAGAGAGAGGGAGAGAGAGATAGAAACATCAAAGATGAGAGAGCATCATGATCAGCTGGCCTCCTGCATGCCCCGCACTGGGAATCGAGCCCACAACCTGGGCATGTGCCTTGACTGGAATCGAACCTGGGACCCTTCAGTCTGCAGGTGTCCGACGTTCTAGCCGCTGAGCCAAACTGGCTAGGGCTCAAGTGCACTTCTTACATGAATGGTCTTGTCTAATTGGAACATTTCTCATAATGGCCATTGCAAGGCTAGGTTGCCTTCAGTAAAATTGGTCTATGCACATGAGGAGAAACCTCTTGTTTTTTTGTTTTGTTTTGTCTTTTTTTTTTTTTTAACATAAAACCGGGCAGGGTCCTAAACAGGGGCCACCTTAAAGCATTTAGATGACTGGGATCCCATTTTTGGAGTTTTCCTGAGAGCAAAGGGGGAAAAAATCCTAAATAGCCTAAGGAGTACATGTAGGGTTGGGACTTGTGTGCCTTTGATGGGATTCTACTTTTTCCTGGTGGACAGCCTTGTCTAACTCATGACCAGGTGTTCCTCGTTGCATGGAATTCCCGGGAGGTAGGGGTTTTTTATTTTTTTTTTTTTTACATAAAACCGGGCAGGGTCCTAAACAGGGGCCACCTTAAAGCATTTAGATGACCGGGATCCCATTTTTGGAGTTTTCCTGAGAGCAAAGGGGGAAAAAATCCTAAATAGCCTAAGGGGTACGTGTAGGGTTGGGACTTGGGTTTTGTTAGTGTGCCTTTTATGGGATTCTACTTTTTCCTGGTGGACAGCCTTGTCTAACTCATGACCAGTTGTTCCTCGTTGCATGGAATTCCCGGTGAGAGGTAGGGGGCCCATCGCTTGTCCGTGACCACATTATCCTTACTCGGAGCCTCTTGCTTCAGAGGCGCTTGTCTGTCATGTAAAGGTGGCAAGTGCTCGAGCAGCATCAGGTGCTCAACCCGCGCCCGCCCGTTTTGGTTTCAGTTCTGCTTTCAGGAAAATCCACATATTTAGATCTAAACCAAGCACATTCTCATTCAGAAACCAAGAGCACTCCCCAGATGGACCATCTGTCCTTCTCCAAATCCAAATACAGTCGGAGCTCGACCAGAAGGAGGGAGCTCAGGCCCAAGAGGAGACTCACCAAACCAGAAGCAAAAGGCAAATCCCAGAAGCTTAGAGCTCAAGGGGCTCCGCGTGGGCACCTCCCTCGATTCTGAGGGTCAGCGCCTTCAGATCCCACGGCTGACACCACTGATGTCAACCTAAATAAGGGGGTACACCGAGGTGAGCTCAACTGATCAGAACTTTGAGTTTCTTTGGGAATAGCAGAAGCATTGCAACCATAGAAACACACGGTGTAGCAAGCTACAGGCGAGTCCACTGAGGACTTAGGGTGGCTGTTTATAGGCAGGCGGTGCAAAGAAGAGGAAGTCCCGGCAGAGTCCAAGCACGGGGCTCATTAGCTTGGAGATGGGGAGAGATTCTTGGCAGATATTGATCGGGCAGGAGATCATCTCTGTTTTCTGTAAATCGGGCATTTAATGGAAATCAGTCTCAGTTCTCAAGTTCTGTTCTTCTGCGGGTACATGCATGCAGTTCTCCATTTCGTATCCTCTGGTCCCATTTTTAGATTGAAATCCTTACACAGATACAGATATATACAGACACAGAGAGGAAGGCAATATTATTATCACTTGTAAAAATATAATTACACAGCCAGAAAATTGGGATCAACTGAATTCTTTGTGAAAAATTAGAATTAATAAAACAAAGAAGACTGTGTGCAAACTAAATACACACAAAAATCAAGTTTTTTATTTAATATTGTTTACTATATTTTCTATTGACTTTATTTCTATATAACCAATCAGGAGGTATGATGGCAGAAAATATCCCAGCCACAATAACAATTAAGAGACACTCTAGCCCTAAAAAAGAAATGTATGGTGCCTACGCAATATAAAAGATGTGAGAAAATATAAAAACGCCCATACTCTTGAATGGGAGGCTTATGCAAAACATTTAAATTCTCTCCTAGTTAATTCACAGTTCACCACACTTTCAACTTAAATTCTAAAGAATTTGACTCAATTAGAATTTAGAAACTGACAAAATTTTCCTGCCTGTATTCCACCTAGCAAATTAACAGGTAAGATCACTATAACATTTTTGGAAAAGAAAACCAATTGGGATGAAGAAAGGACATTTTCTCTGCCAGATAGTAAATGCATTATAAAGCTGAAGAAGTAAAACAAGATAGTGTCAACAAGAAGAGAGAAATCAATGGGAAAAAACAGGTGGCTCTGAAACCATTCCAAGGAGCAGGTGAAATTCATGTATGAGAAAGAAAGCTCACAAACCAGCAGGAAGAGGTGGCTTATAGAGCAATGGGGTTGGAGAAATCGGCTGGATTAGTTAGACCTACACTTCACACTGTAGCATAAAATAATTCCCAGGTGCTTTAAAGCATCACATGTAAAAATAATGTCACTTTAAAAAACTAAAAAAGTAGCCGTAACCGGTTTGGCTCAGTGGATAGAGCATCGGCCTATGCACTGAAGGGTCCCAGGTTCGATTCCGGTCAAGGGCATGTATCTTGGTTGTCTTGTTGGACCTAGAATGAATATTAGATTTAAATAGTAGGTTTGAGTTGAAGTGTTGTGATGAAAGTGGCTTTGTGTTACTGAAGAGCTGTTGAGCTTCCATGCTTTGTATTTTCAAATGTCCACTCATGTTAGCACTAACCTATAGTATACACAGTAGGAACATCTTAGCTCTGATGATGGAGGGAGCTAGGGTACCAGGGAGCCCTGAAGTCCATTCACTGTCTTGGGATGAGTTTCTAAATCCCAGAGTGAATTGATTATGGTTAGTATTGGGGTTACTATTGTACTTGGTTTTTCTTTAGAGAACTTGTAGGAATGGAAAGCATGGAGATGCCTCCCGTGCTTAGAAGTTAGCTTTGAAGAAGATGAGTTTATTTCATCATACAGGATTTGTAACGTGGAGGGCCCCCAATTATCTGCATGAGTTTTGATTTTCTCCTAGAACAATTGTCAAAGAATCCTTGTGGTTCTGTTCCATCACTTTGTAAAAATATTATTTTTATTATTAGTTTTAAATAACTTTGGGGCTTGCAGTATGCCTCATACCAGCTATCTTGCATCTGTAAGGAACTCACTTTACTTTAACTCAGCGGTTCTCAACCTGTGGGTCGCGACCCCTTTGGCGGTCGAACGACCCTTTCACAGGGGTTGCCTAAGACCATCCTGCATATCAGATATTTACATTACGATTCATAACAGTAGCAACATTACAGTTATGAAGTAGCAACGAAAATAATTCTATGGTTGGGTCACAACATGAGGAACTGTATTTAAAGGGCCAGAAGGTTGAGAACCACTGGTCTAGCACCTTTCGGCAGAGGGGGTTTGAAGAGAGGATCCGGGAGTGTCTCCCCCAGTGGCAGCTTCCAGGTTGCTGCGACCGTAGACGCTTCCTGTCCACCGGGGCCTCGAACACAGGGCCCTGGGCTCTCGGTTTCACAGAGGAACTCCAGCTGCGGGCCAGGCCTTCTCTGCCACAACCTCCCTCCCGAGGAGCACGCCAAGCGGTGGCTGCAGCTCTGAACACACTTCCCATCAGCCAAGTCCTGGGAGTGACAACAAGCTGGGGGAGGGGAGGGGGCCGGTCTCTTGTTCCTCAGGGTGGACCACCTGCCCCACATTCCCATCTCCTCCTCCTCCCACTGAGCATCGGTTCCTCCGGCAGATGTGGGCTTCATCACACCCATCTTCCACCAGGTCTCTATGGGGGCAGGATGCCGGTGAGTCCGCGGGACCTGTTACAGGTATGGGCTACGCAAACTGTCAGAGAGATGTGCAACGTGCCGTGACTAGTTAGAGCCGCGCTGGCCTCAGGCCCCGGGACCTGTTACAGGTATGGGCTACGCAAACTGTCAGACAGAGAGATGTGCAACGTGCCATGACTAGTTAGAGCCGCGCTGGCCTCAGGCCCTGGCCCCTCCCTGCAGTGGGCTGATTAAGGACCCCGACGAACATGGCCAAGGCCGAACCCCAGAATCTGTGAATGTGACTTTGTTTGAAAAGGTCTTTGCAGAGGTAATTAAATGAAGGGCCTCACGATAAGACCGTCCTGGGTTTAGAGGGCCCTGAGTCCCACGGCAGATGTCCTCGTAGGAGGCAGGCAGGAGGCGGAGCCTGCCGGAGACACACCGAGGGAAGACGGCGGGGAACACAGGCAGAGACTGGACAGAAGCGTCTGCAGCCAGGGTGCCAGGCTGCGCAGCATGACATCCTGGAGAAAGGCGGCCTGGAGTCCCCCCCCAGAGCCTCCGAGGGCACCCAGCCCGCCAGCATCTTGCGTTTGCACCTCTGCCACCTGCGGAAGACTAAATGTCTGTTGTCTGAAGCCCCACGTTTGTGGTAATTTGTCACAGGACAGGAAACTAGCGCACACTGTTTCACACACAGCCGTTTAGCAGGGTGGGTGTCGGGGGACTGGCGCCCCACCCGGCTCAGCTGTGGGCTGCCCGGGTCCTGTGAGTGAGGGTCGCACTGGGATGCCCCTCCTGCTGGAGGAAGCTCTCAGGAGCGCCCGCTGCACTGCCCGGGACTTTCAAAGCGTTCCCTTCCTGGCCCTAAAAACATAAACAAATCAAATGAAGTAAAAGTGACACTAACTAACCTTTGAAATTGACTGCAGAGCCGTATGGAGGAAACTGAACCAGGTGGATTCCGGGGGCGTTGCTCAGGCCTTTTCTGCCCTGAGTGACATCCACCCTTCCGAGGCCAGGGTGGGACCAGGTCTCCTCCGCAGAGGCTGTCCCCAGGTGACCGTGGGAGGCGGGCCCGCTGACCACCCTGAGACCCCGGGATGTGGCCGGGTGGCAGGAGGAGCCTGGGCAGGGGAGAGGGGGCCTTTGCAGCAGCAGGACTGTCCTCTGGTGGGGAAGTAAGGTCACTCCACCAGGACCCAGGACTTGGAAGGTCCCGTCTTATCTGCGGACAGACGGGCAAGCCCACTGGGTCCTTCTGCCGCACTGCAAGGCACACGTCCGTGCGGCGGGAAACACAGGTGCTCCACAGCACCCGCACCTGGGAGGCTGTCCTGCTCTGAGCCAGCTCCTCTGGGGTCCTTTTCATAGAAACAGCGTAACATCACTTATCAGCATCAGCATCGCCACAGGTGGGAGCACTCCGTGTACTCGGGCCGCAATGCGCTCTTTTTCTTTTGTGTTTATGTTGTTGTGTTGGCTCCACAATAAACATTGTGCTCAGGGGGCTTTTAACCAAAGAGCAGGGGAGAGTCCCCTCGCCTTCCAAGCCCTGAGAGTGTCCTTAACTGAGTAAGAGAGAGGCTTCCCACTCCAAGAGACAGTGAGGACTCAGGAGGGACGCCAGCCCCGCCCCCTGCTTCCCATGCAAAGCGACATCGAGAAAATGGCATTTTACCAACACTGGCGTCTCGGCCTTCTGCTGGTGACCTTCGTCCTTGAAGCTTTCAAACGCTGGAGTGGACCTTCCCTCACTTCAACTTAGGCAGGCGGGGGGGGGGCGGGGTAGGGGCGAGGAGGTGGACGCCCATCAGCTCGTCCGCAGCTCGGCCACCGCTTTAAACCAGAGGTGGTTGACGATCAGGACGGCCAGGGGCACGGAAAGCTAAGTAAAATTCTCCTAACAATGGAAAGCATGAAGACTAGAGACTATCCCACACCTTTAGCCCAGTTCCTTGATATAATTTATATAAATTATCTTATAGAACAACATCGACCTAAGCCTTGCTGTGCCGTGTTCTCTGAATCACGGTTTTCCCAGTTCCCAACGTCCGCAGACAAGGTGGCATCGCCATTTGGCAAAGGGCCCAGAGCCCCCAGCCCTGCCCCTTCGAGGGTGTCCACACGGCCCTTCCGCGTCAGGACGGGAGGATCGACGCTACGTTGTATTTATTTATCCAACCCCCTGCCAGTCGTTGGGATTTCCCCCAGGACTTTCTAACCGTAACCCAGTGCTTCAGGAAGTATCTCTATAAATGGGGGGGGGGGGGGGGGTTCTTTGTTTGTTTGTTTGTTGCATAGAGAACGTTTCTGGAAGGTGTGTCCTTAGAAATAGAGTGGCTGGGCTGCAGGGGAGACATTTAAATTCCCTTCCAAAAGTTTGCCGCTCTAACCTCCAGCCGTGGTCTGTGGGTCCCACAGTGGCCGCGACGGAGCCGGTTCCTTGTGGGACCGGGGGAGCCGTTCTTGTTTTGATTTGCCTTTCTCTGTTATCAGTGAAGGTAAGCAACTTCTCAAATGCTTCCTGGCCTCTGAGTTGGTGCTTGAGCAGCTGGGTCTTTCTTGAAAAAAATATTCAGCTTATCAAGTATATTGTTTCCTCCAGGAAGTGCTCATTATGCTCAAGAGAATACGTGGAAGCCCTTGCTTCCTAGACACACAGGAGCTTCTCACTCCCTGTGGAGAAAGTGATCATTCACTTCAGCATCAGCCAGCGGGAAAGCACCCGCAGTTCAACGCGAGGACTCCTCAAAGGAAACCCCTTCTCCCCGTTCCCAGGGCATGGCCCATAGACTCCACAAAGGGGAAAAGTCATCTCACACAGCAAATACAAATTTCATACA